AATGATGAGGGCAACAAATGTACTTGATACAATGGATGGATGGATAGCTTGTGATAAGAGTAGTACAAGCCCCCAATAAAATGATTAAAAAACCCAAACAAACTAATAACCAGGCCAGGTTAAACAAAGCTATCTAAACATCAACTTGTTTCCATCTTGTCCATTGTAGTAGTTAGTTTCGGGTGCTAACATGGCACCTGTAAGAAGATATGGGTGGGGTTTAGTCTGTCAATCAGGTTGCAACTTGATGACCTCATTTGGAGGCACGATGTAGAGAAATGGCTCTCTGTAGGCTAGCTTCTATCTCTCTCTATTTCACCTTACTGCTGGTGTGCAACAGGAGGACCTGAAGACTTCCTGGATCCCTGGAGATGTATCCACCACCATTGAATTCATAAGACTTTGCATCCACCAGCCTGTGATTTTCCTACATTTCGCATTGCTGCATAAGCCTGCATGAGTCTGAAGAGGGACTTATGAACTAGTATTGGACTTATGGATTTGATGTGGACATGGCTGGGATGTTTGCTTGATATATAATTATTCTTGATAGAAAGCTCTCTCTTACACATATATGAGCGCCACTTGATTTTTTTTCTCTATTCAACCCAGCCTAACACATTATGGTACCATGGGAGTTAGGTACTAGAGATACAGATCATGAAGATGAGGAATGGATGCTTGTCTGACCTCTTCCTTATGGCAGTTTTTCTTCTTTGGCTAGCCAGAGGTCAGATAGGCCCTAAATGTTTATGCGATTGTTTTCTGGAAAGAATATGGGAAGTTTCAGTTTTGATGCTTTTCTTTGTTGTCTTTGGCTATTCCGGTTGGAAATGAATGTGACCAATGTAAATTTTGAGCTCAGGGTACAAAATGGCCCCTTGAACTCTGAGACCATGTAGCATAGTCAAAATGGCTGACAAAAGCCCTGCCCTGCCTTGATGCAAGCAGAGGCCTATGGCTGTATTGCATATGAATCGGAGAAGTTAGATAGGAAAGGAGTTAATTTGACTACTTTAAAGATGTGTTCGGGATCTGACTCTATGTTAGAGTAAACCAACCTGTAACAAACACGGGGGTCCATAGGTGCAATTGTACAGTGATAATACCCTGTTTCCCCGAAAATAAGATACTGTCTTATATTACTTTTTGCTCCCAAAGATGCTCTAGGTCTTATTTTCTGGGGATGTCTTATTTTTCCATGAAGAAGGATAGGGTACACATT